GAACAGGATACAGGAATCAGGATACAGGGAACAGGATACAGGAATCAGGATACAGGGAACAGGATAACGGGAACAGGATAACGGGAACAAGATATAGGGAACAGGATACAGGGAACAGGATACAGGGAACAGGATACAGGATATGGCAACAATATTGAAGCACATGCCTCAGTGCAGGGAGAGGTTAAATACCCTCCCAGATCAGCACCAGGTGGTGACTAATTGCTGGGAGACACCCGCAGGTGAGCACTGGAACTGCAGGATCAGGTTCCAGCTCTACAGTGCCACCTGGAGGCGCTCTGGTCCCTGACAAACAGTTTGAGCTGTGTATGGTCAACTTGAAGGCCACCGAGAGTTGTCACATGGGGATGGCAAGAGAGTCTTGTGTATGTTCCAAGAAGATCATCATGGAGCTTTTCTCTTCCCTTCCATCGGACAAAGCTTTAGAAGAGGGGAAATGGAGGTGGGTATACATAGTGGGGGGCTATTAAGTGAACCTCTTTCATTTCTCGTCTAGACAAATCACGGGTTCACTGTAGCTGCATCACTAAGCTTCTGTAATCCCGGTCCCCATGCTAGTTTGAAGGAGGGATATTCTATCAAAGATTGTGACTGAGTTGGAATGTGTGACCGGTCACAGGGAGGAGGAAGGGAGGGGACAGGGAGGAGTCTCCCTGTCCCTCACTTGCTCGTCACTGCTGAGGCATCGAGATCGATGTCCTCAGTGTTTGTTTGTTTTTCTTTTTTTGATTGGTCCAAGCCATCAACAGAGCTCACGCCTCTATCACAGAGTAGAGGCTGTGACAGCTCTTGCCTCACCAAGTTAGGTTACACAAGCAGTGGGGAAGCCCGCTGCTGTGTAGCCTAACTTAGCTGTCAAAAGCCGGATGCAGCGCGGCCTGCAATTAACTTCCATCGCTCTATCCATGACAGGTTACACTGCGAGGAGGGGGCGGGGAGGATTTCCATTCTGTGTAACTTAATAGAAGCCGATCTGAATGCAGAACAAGCTGTCAGCTTCAGACTTGAAAAATACAGCTTTTTCCTCCATAATACTAGGTGAGGCTCCGCCTCCCCTGACCGCACGTCCCTGGTTTCTATAACGTGTACATTCTTTAATAAAATTAACCAAAATTAGATTCCACTTGTGTCCCTTATTCCATATCCATTCACCTGCTTTTTATTCCCTCGTGCAGCTCGTCCTCCTTCAAGAGAACTCAACGTAAGTGTCTGTTTATATTTTAACCTTCCTCTACTACTTGTACGTTAAAGGGATAGTCCATGTAAATGTTATGTCAGTTATAAGAAGCCTCTGGGGCGCAGAATCAATCACAAGATTCCTTAAAGGAGAACAATGAGGTGAGGGATTTTCACTCAGTCCGAGCCGACGTGTGACAATGAAACTGTCACAGGTCGGCTCAGTAGATCGGGAAGTGAGAGAACACATACCGTCACTCGCTCACTTCTCAATCATCTCCCTGCAGAGAGCCGTGACTGTCAGTCACGGCTCCCTGCAGGGATTCCCCCCCTCCCCGCTCCGATCCTCCAGCGCTGACTGGAGGAAAGGACGGGGGAGGGGGCGGGTACAGCTGGCTCTGCCTCTAGATAGGCAGAGCCCGCTGTCAATCACACAACTGGGTGGATCTCGACAGTAATGTCAGGATCCGTCCTGGCTGCGGCGGTCTCAGTACAGCTCGCGATATACTGAGCTTAGGGTGACGGGAGGACGCTAGTTTGTGTCCTCCTGTGACCCTTAAGAGAGCTATGGGGAAAAGCCCTGACCCAATAGTTCTCTTCTAAGGCAATGTGTATTGGGTAAATATTTTCTTTTTTTATTTATTATGGTCATACTAAATAATAGATTTACTCAAACGTTTGCATTGTAACATGTTGCATTCTTATATCGAGCCAGCAGGTGGAGCCTGAGTCCACTTTTCATTTATTTTCCTCTCTTTCCTCATCTCTTGTCGTTTTCAAAGAAATTCCAGTGTCCCCTCACTTCTGATTGGAAGATGAACATCGCAGCAAAGGCTCCTATTATATTTTACCATTTATTAGTCTATTTATTTTGATATTGTTAATGTTCGCTAAAGTTATACTTTAATATGAAGAAAGGATTCTCATGTTACATTTCTCTTCAGCTCGGTCAGTCAAAATAAACAATAAGCTATAATAATAATAAAAATAAGAGACGATATGAAGACGTCTGATTGGCTGTCTTTTCTTTTTCTCTGGCAGGATGACTATTCTGTTATATACTCATTTGTGACGCACGCGGGCTCCATGGAAACAGCGAGAAGAACATCGGTCAGAACCGTCTACGAAGTCATTAAATTTAAATAAAATTGAAAAAAAAAAGTGCTAATTTCATAAGTGCGGTCATGTGATCAGTGCGGTCATGTGATCCGTCACTGTACATACTGCCAGTCAAAATGAACTTCTGATTATCATCTCTTCCACTAGAGGGCGCCAGAGGACACGCAATGCTTAGTTCATCCTTGCAGCTTTGTTATATGATTACGTTATCATCTCCCCGACATAGTCACTACATTTTTACAACTCGCGGCCTATGCTGCTTTAATTTTCGGTGTACAGGCTCTTGAGCTATCCTTTGTGTCCAATGAAAAGCGTCCACACCGGAGGCATTAAGACAGCAGCAGTGTCAAAAGAATGCTCTCACAGCTCCTTTCGCACTGCTGTGGGTGGAGCTGCTGTATGGGGGGGGGAGAGGGGTTAGGACATCCATAGGTTCTGATACTGGCAGACAGCAGAGTCCTTTTGTAGATAGTTTTGTGGAAATTTTAATTATTTGTAGTAGGAAATAGAACTTAGGGGCCAGGGGGCGTAACTAGAAATCACAGGGCCCCATAGCGGCCTCCTGGGTCGCTATGGCGATTGTTACGCCACTGTTAGGTGCGTAGTTATAAATTATCCCCAGAGCCATTGGCCCTGCAAATCTCTAAAAACATTTGTTCTGTGCGAATAGAGGCAAAACCAAACTTTTTTGTGTGTGTCTGTTTCCTATTCAGGTCAAACGCCATGTAATGTAATACCCCAGTATGACCACTAGGTAGAGCCGAAGAGCACAGGAAATATATACTTCTTCCCTATGCTCCTCAGCTCCATCTTGTGGTCATAATGGGGTAATACATTACATGACAATCAACCTGAAAAGGAAACATACCAATAAAAAGTTTGGTTTTGCCTCTTTTCACACAGAAGTAGGGCAAATGGCTCTGTGGTTTGTTTATAAATAGACCCCTTCAAATGGGTGAACTCTTATTCTTCAATAATATGGTATGATACGGAAGAGCCTTGGGGGGCCATGCTAAAAAAAAATAAGAAACATAATTCTGTGGTTGAAAGTTAGAATTCAGAAAATAAAAGTCAGAAATCTGAATTCTAATCTCAGAATTATGTCTTTTAAACACAGAATTATGTTTCATATTTTTTTCCCCATGGCCCCCAGGGCTCTAAATGCCGTGATAATGTTTATTAATGCCGAGTTACCATTTTTGTTTGTTGTGTTCCAACTTAATTTGTAATTAAAGAGATTTATTTCTGTGAACTCCAGTTGTCTGAGCGGCTGTTTTTTTATTTTCTGTGTCTCCCCCCCCACCGGTACCCCTCTATCATATTGTCTACTCACAGATTATGTTCTCAATCCAACGCTTAAAAGACAACGTGAAAGAATAAAAGGTCGTGTACATCTGGAATATTTCATTACAAAAATAGGTTTAATCTATTAAAAAAATGCTTTTCACAAAATTATATATATATACACATTTGCAGATTGATGAACCGTTTCATATTTTATACCTTTATAGCTATTAGGAAATTTTCATATTCCACTGGGAGGGAATCAGGGTCCCTCCTCTGACTCATGTGAACCATTTAACCTCTCCCGCTCAATGCAGAGCAACATCACCTCCATATTTTTTATTCATTTGTTATCATTTGTTTAGCTAAAATTTGTAAAAATGTAGTAAAAAAAATAATCACAGTCCGAGAGTTCCATACATCACCAAAAATATGTATTTACTGCTTACGTGTCTCTGTGCTGTGTTCAATTTCCTAGCACCTGAATTAGGGATGCACCGATACTAGTGTCAGTGGCGATATCGAGTATTTGGGCGAGCACTCGTACTCGCCCAAATGCTCCGATACCTTTCCCGATACTGGAACTTGCGGCTGTGCCGTAGGGGAACGTAGAGAGAGCGTTCTGATGCCTAAGTCATTGGTTGACTAGTGCCTGAACCATACAGCGTCATTGCTTGCGAGGATGTAGGTGGACACACCATGACAACCTATGATGCTGGTGGTCCCACAGCATCATTGGTTGTGATGGTGTGTCCAGATGCATCCTTGCAACTAGGGATGGCCCGATACCAATACTGGTATCGGTATCAGTGCTTATATTGAGTATTTGGGCGAGTACTCGTACTCGCCAAAATGCTCCGATGCCTAACCCGATACCCAAACTTCCGGTATCAGGAAGCTGGGCAGCGAGTCATTACATGCTGCCTGGCTTCCTGATTGGCCAGGAAGCCGGCTCGATGCTGCTTGGCTGGGAAACTGGTTTCTGCAGCCAATCACAATCAAGCCAGCCAAACAACATGGAGCCGGCTTCCCGGGCAATCAGACATGTAATTACCCGCCGCCCGGTTTACTGAGTGCCCGAGAAGCCAGCTCCATGCCAGCGGAAGCACTGGTATCGGTACTCGGTATCGGCGAGTACTAAAAGCAATATATCGTTACTCCTACGGTATCAGTGCATCCCTAATCTGAATTGTGGTTTTGATAGGTACTTCAAAGCAGGTTGGCAACCCAACAGAGCTTTTTGGAGACATCACCTTCTTCTACTTCTTCTAACCAGATGAGTCCTCTGTGAAAAAGACGGATTCACACGTTTCTCTGCCCTGACTGCCAAACTCGGCACAGCAGAGAAAGATGGCGCTAGATGGAAGCCACGTAGAGTCCTCCTCATGTACAGTGTGCCATTACGGTATACGAGCTTCCATTTCACAAAGTCCTGAGAAATAACGGGATTCCAAAGTCATTGTGAAGGTCCTTCAGCCACATCAGACACATGGCAGACAACTGGAGACCATCGAATGATAACAAGGCATGGGACTCTTGGATTGATGACCTACCTGCAGAACGTGTCCTCTGCACTTTATAGGAAAAAGGTTTTCCAATTGTTATTGAACCAGAACGAAGACAGGGGGGTATGTCAGGTACATTCTTCAAAAATCCTTTGGTGTCTCATGTGAAGACTCAGCTGCAAAGTCCAGGTTGAGTTATACACTCACCAAGTCTTCCTTTGGTCCCGGGTTAAAGGTCTTGCCGTTGATCCATCCCTGCAATGGCAGAGCTCCAGTTCATCATTGGGTTCCATCTCCCATGCTATACAATTGTCTCCACTTTGTGTGTTACAGTTGTCTCAGGACTGAAATGTATTGTCTTCCCTTCATTACTGCCCCCCACGGCATTATGTCCAAGTGTCATCTCTCCATTGTGCCAGGATGTTGTCTCCTCGGGGTGTTGAAGACCAGTCTGCTCATTCACTAGTGCTTCAGTCTCTTCATGGAGATGTAGAATGGTCTCCTCTGTATTCATGGTGATCCTCTCTCTTCTGTTTACCGGGGTTTTACCTGAAAGAAGGCAGAATGAGTATCTTGCCACCATTTAGCTACTTCAAGTATTTTTTAGCCATTTATGTGACTTTTATTAGCTTAAAATATATATAAAGCCAAGACTTGTTTTTGGAGAGATTATGGAAGGATTGGGCCTCCTTTTTATTGCTGGCCTCGCTGGGGAAATTCACAGTGATTATGAGATTATTCCTAATATAGAAGGTGATGGGAAATTTATTACGTTTGTCACTAGAAGAAGAGGGGAGGAGAAATCTCCTAATGGCCACTTGTGGTGAGGAAACTGGCCTGGGTTTAGCATTCTTGGATGTTCACCAAACCCAGCCATTTGGCAAATGTCCAAGCGAACCAAACCCAGGACCCGCAGTGTGCCAACAACCAATGATGCTCTGCAACCCGCACAGTGTCATTGGTTGCAAGTAGGGATGGACCGATACTGTTTTTTCGGTATCGAGTACGGGTACCGTTTTTTTTTTTCTGTACTCACCAATATCGATACTGGAAGTCCCATTAGGGAAGCCAGGCAGCATGAAGACTCGCCACCCGGCGTCCCAATTAGCAGGGAAGCTATCTCCACCTTATCACCAGGTGACGAGGAAGCATGGAGCCAGTTTTCTGGCCAATCAGAAAGCCGGGGGGGGGGGGCAGCTAATGACTCGCTGCCTGGCTTCCTGATTGGCCAGCTTCTCGACCAATTAGGAAGCCAGGTGGCGAGTCATTACACAGCGCTCGGCTTCCTGATTGGCCGGGAAGCAGGCTCCATGCTCCCTCATGCCTCGTCACCATGAAGCCAGCTTTCTGGCCAATCAGGAAGCCAGGCGGCGAGTCATTACATGCTGCCCGGCTTCCTGATTAGCTGGGAAGCCTTCTCCATGCTCCCTCGTCACCAAGTGATGAGGAAGCATGGAGCCGACTTCCTGGCCAATCAGGAAGCCAGACAGCATGTAATGACCCGCTGCCCAGCTTCCTGATACCGGAAGTTTGGGTATTGGGTTAGGCAATCGAGCATTTGGGCGAGTACGAGTACTCGCCCAAATACTCAAAATAAGCACTGATACCGATACCAGTATTGGTATCGGTGCATCCCTAGTTGCAAGGATGCATCTGGACACACCATCACAACCAATGATGCTGTGGGACCACCAGCATCATAGGTTGTCATGGTGTGTCCACCTACATCCTCGCAAGCAATGACGCTGTATGGTTCAGCCACTAGTCAACCAATGACTTAGGCATCATTGGTTGCTAAGACAAGGATGTACAGAAAACAGGCAAACTGGCCAAATTGTTGGCCTGCTTACCGAAGCTTTGGGCTTGGGTTTGGGTCAATCTCATGGTCAACCTGAACCGGAAGCTCATCCCTAATGGTGACATCTTCTCCACTGATAAGAAGAGATTTACCTTCACTTAGGAGAGATGGGGCATGCCCAAGGCATATAAATTCCAGCTCTTGCCAACCTTGGGTGCTCAGAGAGATTGCACCTGATGGGGCAGCATTGGCTGGGCATGTGAGCTGTCACCGGGTGCCAGACCCTCCAACTGTTCAGTCTGGTGTGTGGGCCACCAACAATGAGCACAAGAGCACGCAGCTTCTGTATAACCCCCAGTCATTGGAGAGGATATTTTGGCAGCGGATCCTGGGATACTCTGTAGTTAGTGGGGTGGCCTTACCTCCAGAGCCACCAGAGCCCCCTGATTAAAAACTTCCACCATGTGTCTGTGTGAAGCATGTCTGAGCCCTGAGGGACACCTGCCTCTGCCTCTATCTTGCCTCCCAGTGAGAGAAGAGTGACGATCCTCCCGAGACACCACCAGCACTCTGTTCATTATTACCGAGGAACTTATACACTGCATGGCCACCTAGTTGCCAGTAGAGGAACTACTCTAGATAGTCACGTGTCTACTATTGTCTCTTGGGAAGTAGAGATTCTTGTTCTTCTTGTTTTTCTCCTGTTTCCTTATCTCCTGCCTGCGACCTTTGTCAGACTTTCAGTGTTCAGTAAACGCCACCTTATATGTTACCACTCCTCTGATACCGCTGCAGTACAATACAACAGGTAACATGTACTTTTACTCATACAATATGCATGTGTTGAGGGAATCATTGGTGTACTACAGTTCCACTTTAATGCTGACCTTCAGGCAGATATAAAACAACCCCAAACATTTGTTTACTATTAATTATTATTATCATTATTATTATTATTAATTAATGCATTCATCACAAATCATTAAAGGAGAACTATGAGGTGAGTGATCTTCACTCAAACTCATAGTTCGAGCCGACGTGTGACAATGAAACTGTCACAGGGCGGCTCAATAGATCGAGAAGTGAGCGAACACATAGTGTCGCTCGCTCACTTCTCGATCTATCCCTGCAGAGAGAGGTGACTGTCACTCACGGCTCCCTGCAGGGATCCCCCCCTCCACGCTCCGATCCTCCAGCGCTGACTGGCAGAAAGGACGGGGGAGGGGGCGGGCATAGCTGGCTCTGTTTCTAGATAAGCAGAGGCAGCTGTCACTCACGCAGCTGGGTGGATCTGGGCTGTAATGTCGGGATCCGTCCCGGCTGATGCGGTCTCAGTATACCGCG